GTTAAAATATTTTAAAACAACTCAAAACAATGCCCATGTATGGATCTGTATAAAACCAAACAGGCTCCCAAAGCATTCTGTAAACAACCATGCTTTCATCTGGTGCTGAAATGACAGCAACCTAGGAACCAATTGGGCCTCTAAGAATCTTATCTAGTTCCTTTATAACTGCTCTGAAACAAAGAGTTTTACCGCTGAAGAGATTCAAGCTTTTGGGGACCCTTACCATTGTGTGATGTGCAACCCCCAGAATCAGTTCTGTTTGTGTTAGTACAGAAAGGGGCACAATATAAATCCATATAAAAATATTTGCTACCCAATAAAACTAGTTCCTCCTCAGATAAAAAGAATGAGGATGGTGGAGGGTAGTTGCATATCGCATAGCTACTGGTTATGAGGGACAGATACCTTTTCCTCACAGCTGCTGTTGTTTTTCCTGTACTCAAGCCACAAATGGTTGTTGCTGACATAACAACCATTCACAGAATATTAATGGAGGGTGTAAGATGGTCAGTTTATATGACTATCACAGGGATCTATTGTGCCCTCATATATGACAAAAAGAACAATTCTCCTCCATGGTCATTTTGAAGTGGTTCTGTCTATAAAGGTTTTGCACTATAAAAGCTTTGTACACGTTTTGTCCCCTGGGAAAATAACCAATTTACACCCATAGACTGCTAAAACTAGAATACTCTACTGTGAACTGTACCTTCACTGCAAACGTCTCTCTTTTCCAAGAGGTCTATTTTTAGCTTTTTTATTCCTTCTGAGAAAAACCTGGGAGAAAATAATATTTATTTTATTGGGACAAAATGATATATATTTTATTTATGGCATTGTTTTAATACTATAATAATGTTATAGGTAAACAATGTTTCTCCTACAGTGCTACTCTCCTTGCAGGAATCAGTGTTTGAACAATTCTCACAGGACCGCAGCAATCAGAGAAAAATTATTATGGGGAAAATGGCCAACATTATACTTTGTAGAATGATACAGGCTCCCTATCAATGTTTGAAAGACATTGGCATCTGCTGTCTCTGTCAGACTAGGCACTGTGAAAGGCTGGTAGTTGCTTGAGTCAGAGACAGAGGGCAAAAACCCATACAGCTCTTTCACCACCCGCAGCAAGAGTTGAGAAACCTCTCAAAAAATGTGATACATGACATTGAACTTTTCACAGTGGGAAGTTGAAAATGGGGACAAGGGCACTATAAGAATACCTTAAATATTCTGTGACACTAATCCCTAGCATTGTTTTACTGCTGTAGATCTAAGAGACTCCTGAGACAGCCAGTTCAGAACAGCGGTGGCTTTAAGAGAGTGGGGCATATCTGCCTATAATTTCCTTCTTTAGAAGTTCAGTTCAGTCATTTCCATCTATCACACAGAGGAGAACCTGTTTGAGACAGAGAGCTGAATTAAATTTCAGAAAAGCTTTGGGGGCTGCATTCCAGTGGGCAGAGTCCTCTGGTGAGCAGAACCAAATGTGTATGTGACCAAACGTATATACCGGCATCCCTCCCGATTCACGGGGGATCCATTCCGGACCCACCCACCCCTGGCAAATCCGGGGAAATGCAAATATTAAAGTTACCATTGGTTACAATGGCCACACGCACTTCGGGCACGTGGCCCACTTTATCCGTCCCCATTTGCCGTCCAAGAAGGACCAATCACGGACTCCAAGTCCATGAACGAGTAGGGATGAGTGTAATTATTTTAGCCTAAAGTGCTTAGTTTGTGGTTTAGTGGTGCTATTAATGCTCCACCCTAAACTACAAAACCCAGAATTCCACAGGAGGCAGCCATAGCTGCTAAAGTGTAATAATTGAGCTATAACAGAATCTGGGTTATGATCCAAAAATATATATTTGGGGTAGCTGTGCTGGCCATACAGCAAAATATAACAAATACAAAGTAGACAAGCAGCTGAGCCAGCTCCAAAGGATAAAATAGATTATGCAAACTTTTGACGCTTCAGTGGCTTCTTCGTCAGGCAGAGATGTTAAAAATCATACAGGAGGGGGAAAATATGGTAGAATCACAAGCCTATATTCTGTCTCAGGTGTTAGTCTGTTGTCAGTACTGAGGGATTTAAATGCAGGCTGGTCCCACTTCCTCTTCTTGGCCATGTGAGGACTAGGGACAAAGGGCAGCAAAAGGCAATAAAATTTTAGCTCCATTAGCAACAGAAAAGTAACCCCTTTGAGATCCAGCTATCTGTGTCCTGTGTGTGTATCGCTGTTTGTGATCCAAAAGAATTAAATATTTTTTCCCCAAACTCTGATTGTGATTAAAGTAGAATCTTGACAAAATAATGCCACAGCCCAATCAAAATAAAGAACTGCCTCCTCTCCCCAGTGGAAACATCGTGTGGAGGTGGTGATGAAACCTGAGGAAACCTTCCCCCAGCCCTGAGTGACTTGAGGCCAATTGAGAAAAACATCACCAGAATGTGCAATTATGCCTTTGTGCAGAGCAAATTGTGCTCCCCATCACTGCCTACCCTCAGGTGATAATAATATATAGGGGTCACTCACCTCATTGCCTATCTTAATGATAGGCACGGCCTTGTAGTACTTGTAAACCTCATCTATACTAAGCCATTAAATCTGCAACACAAAGTGAACTCTAATTTTTAAAGCTAATTTCACACACTGTAAGCAGTATAATCAAAGAGTTTGTGAGAATCCAGTCTCACTGGAGGTCTTCCCAACTAAGGGATTTCCCTCTTTACTCATTCTTTGTAAGGCACACTCTTCAAACATTTTCCTCAAACAGCAGATCAATTCAGCCTTACAAATAGGGTATTAAAAAATGCCCGTAGGGTTTTCCCCATGGCCAGCCATCTTGCTCCCTTCCCATACTCCAACCTTAAAAACCCCCGCACTGGCACACTATGCTTGACCTCCAACAGCTAGGAGACCCCTGTGGTGTTTAGTCTGCAGGGGGGAAAACAAGAGCGCATTTCTCGCAACATTAAACAACAACAGTTAAAATGCACAAGAGTGTGTACAGTGGCTGTAGGGTTTGTGTTTAGAAAGCTCAAATCAATATAGGATGTGAGAAATGAATGAATGTAAGAAGCTCAAGGGTTTGGCCTTGAACCATTCACTGTCTCTCAACCTAAAGAAAAACCTTTGGATGACCAATGAAGGAGATACTGGAAAATGGCTATCAGGAACCCTGGAATCAAAGCAATTTTGTTGCAAATGCAGAAGTTGAAGGAGAGAGCGTAAAATGAGGCCTCTTCTCAGACCATAGCTATTCAAAAGTAAATAACAATCACAGAAGTATGGATGCAGAGAAGGAACCTAGCTAAGGTGCATGTGCTTGTCTCAAGACTCTACATAAAGTCCAGGACAAAGCATGATTCTCAACATATACACCAAAGAAACTTCTGGAATCAGTAATTAATATAAAATGGCACAATAAGATACCATCCCTTGGATGGAAAAGTATTGATCCCATGTTTTATAAGATGATAATACCACGTACAGAAACTCTTCAACATCTCAGTGGGTGATTCACCGGGAGCAGGGACGCTATAGGGTTTGCAATGCAATGGCCTTAACTGGGTAAAACAAAGCAGTTCAGGGGGAAATGGAACAGAAGACCTTTGACTCTGGCAATTTAAATCAGGCAGTGAAGTAGGAAAGGGAGAGTGCTAGGAAGAATTGTGGGGTAAAGCAAGCAATTCCTGAAGCTGTGCATGATAAAAGAAGGCACTGGGTTTCTGAACACAAGGACACTTACAGACTTCAGAATAAAATCATACGGCTATGGGCTGAACTGAGGATTGGGTAGAACAAAGAAAGCATTAGCTTGGCTCTGGGAAATGAAAGGGAATTACAAGGAGATTCTTGGCTTCTTGACAAGAGTTAAAATGAGCTGAACGAGCATTACAAAAGGAAGCACAAAAGAGTATAATGATACCCAAGTGGTGCTTTAACCTGCTGATCTATCTTGGGGTGAGAATCTTTATGGATTGGACCATCTTTCCTCCCATGGCTCTGAACCAGCCAAATTAAAGGTATGTTCTCAGGCTATCCAGCTGGATTTGCACAGTAACTCAGAAGTAAATGAAAGCCAGTGTAGCATAGTGGTTTGAGTGTTGGATTACGACTCTGGAGACCAGGGTTCGATTTCCAGTTAGGCCAAGAAACCCATGGGGGTGATCTTGGGAAAATCAGTCTCTCAGCCTCAGGGGAAGGCAATGGCAAATCTCCTATGAGCAAATCTTGCCAGGAAAAGCCCACAGAATGATAGGACATTATCACACGTAGGCCAGAAAGCGAAAATAAAGTGGAAATGAGACATTCCGAAAATAAACGGAAAATAAACCTTGATTCTGCAAATGGCTTTCACACGTAATTATCTTAATTGCGAAATTATAGTAAGCGCATTTAACGTTCAGACACAAGTGAGAAAAGCCCATAAATGTACTAGAAATGAGCTTCTTGCACATGCGCAGATAGAGGAATGCTCGCTGGAACCATGGGAACAGCAGGGAAATGCTCCCAAATTCGCATTTGCTTTTCACATTATGGTAAATGCGAAATTACCTTAATTTCACATTTGCATTTCGTCCAAACAACTGAATTTCAAAAGATCTCAGTTAACACCAGTTTCTGTCCACTTTCTGTCCAGTTTCTGTGCGACATTGTGTGAAAACACTTGGCACAAATCCAGTTTCTGTTTGGGATTTGTGTGGATTAACCAGCAGATTTGCCCCCGTGTGATAACGTCCATATTGTTGGAATATGATAACCTTAGGGTCACCATAAACTGGAAACAACTTGAAGGCACACAACAACCACCACTGGTAGTAAATAGCACATTATGTAAACAATTGGCACTAACATGGAGCATGTTGGATGAGATCCTTTTCTTTCCTGATATATTGATTACAACTAGCAAGATTTGTTTTGTGTTTATTTCTTCATATGGGCATTATGAAGTAATGCAATCTTTCCATTACCCCATTTTGCCTCTCCCTAGGATAAAATGATATAAATTTCAGGACTTAAATGAGCGTGGTGTAGTGATTTGAGTGTTGGACTACTACTCAGGGAAATCAGCATTCAAATCCCGACTCAGCTGTGGACTTTAGGCAAGGCACAAGCTCTTACCGTCAGAGGAAGGCAAGGGGAAAACTCCTCTGAATAAATCTTGCCAAGAAAACCCTAAGATAGTGTCACCTCAAGTTGAAGCTTTGGGCTTCTAGCAGACTGCCAGAAATAGTGCAAACTGAGCCCACTTTAACTGCCTTGGCTCAGTGCTAGAGAATCATGGGAATTGTATTTTTTTTCTGAGACATTGAGCCTTCTCTGTCAGAGAGCTCTGGTGCCACAATAAACTACAGTTCCCATGATTCCCTAGCACTGAGCCAGAGCAGTTAAAGTGGACTCAATTTGCACTATTTCTGGCAGTCTGCAATTTGTCTCTCAGTTTTTCTGTGTACACCTACAGGTCCTGATCCTTCACATTTACTCTCAGCATTCATGTCCCAGTTGAGTGTACACAGGGTGGCAGCCACTGATTCTGAATCGGTGTGTGCTTTGCTCAGAAGTAGATTTTACAAATTCAGCAGGACTTACTTCCCCTGAGTGTCAAGTGGCTTGTGCAAGAGAACTAAGTTTTGAGCATAAATTTGCAACATATGTCATTTCTAAATAAACAGATGCAACTCTAGTGGCTGGCAGTGGTTAATTCAGTAGCCGGTATTGATTGAGTCTCCCTTATTAGAAATGCCTGGGACCAAAAGTATTTGGGATTTCAGATTACTATTTTTTTGGATTATTATTATTATTATTATCCCACCCTTCTCCCAGGACTCGGACTCAGGGCAGCTTACAACATTAAAAAAACACCATACAGTTAAAAACATATAATAATATTACATTAAAATAGAATTAAATTACTACAATATATATCTGGAGTTGCATATAGTACAGGGGTAGGCAACCTTTCCCCTTTAAGGGCCGAGGGACTTCAGCTCCCAGAATCCCAGGAGCTATTGGCCAACATGGGACTATTGGCCAACATGGCTGAGGCTTCTGGGAGCTGAAGTTCTTCAGCCCTTAAAGGGGAAAGGTTGCCTACCCCTGATCTAGTACATAATGAGATATCTTGGAAATGGGACCCAAGTCTAAACACAAAATTAATGTGTGCTTCATATACATCTTATACGCATGGCCTGAAAGTAATTTTATACACAGTATTTTTTAATTATTTTGCAGATGAAACAAAGTTTATATATATTGAACCATCAGAAAGCAAAGGTGTCACTATCTTAGCCACCCATGAAAAAACTTTTGGTTTTTGGAATATTTCCCAAGTCGCCTGGAAGTTGGGCAGCCGCCCAGATGTGGGTGGTTTCAAGCGCTGTGGTGGCGCAGCATTTACATGCCACAGAAGCATCTTGAAGTTGGCTTTGGGCTGGGCAGGCCAGGAGCAATCTTTTCCACTCATTTTTGGGCTAGATTCAAGGTGGATTGGGGCTGTGGTGAATTTGCTGTGGCCCCAATCCATCTTTGGCTTCAAGCAATCCCTTCTTGCTGGTCTGTTCTGGCCATAATAATAATAATATTTATAATAATAATAATAATAATAATATTTATTTGATACCCCGCC